ATTATACAAAAGTGTTAAAACATCAAAGCAAAAGCTCTCATGTACCATAGCTAATTTCCATTGCAAATACAAAGCTTATTTATTTATTTTCCAGTTTGCGTTAATGATTATTTTAATTTACCATGTTTGTCCTGAAGCAGCCACCATATTACAGAATCACGGAATCACAGACTGGTCAAGGTTGGAAGGGACCTCTGGAGATCACCTAATCCAACCCCTCTGCTCAAGCAGGGTCCACTAGAACAAGCTGCCCAGCATTGTGTCCAGACGGGTTTTGAAGATCTCCAGGGAAGGAGACTCCACAACCTCTCTGCACAACCTGTGCCATATTGATGCCATGGTGCTGTAGCATGTAAACTGCAGCCTGAGACACCCCAGCTGGGCATCTCAGTGTCAGGAGAATTTATTCGTAGTTCATGCAAAATGTGATGTAAGGGAAAACTTACAGTGGTATTTTGTAAAATAGCAAAATCTGTTAATGTGGAATGTTACAGATATTTTAAGAATCACATATGGGCCTATCTAGTCTACTTTTTCTGAAAATGGTCAGAATATACCTTAGTGACAGATGCAGAGATCTTAGAATGCACTTGCTGGTGTTAAAAGCAGATTGTCTGCAGAACCAGTTGCCCTTCCACGTGAAAAAAGCTGACAGGAAGCTGCTGGGTTAGTGCTGGAACCAGCATTAGTGCCAAGGTTGATGTCTCACTGAAATTTTATTACAAGAGCAGTTACAAGCCTGTCCCAGAGCAGCAATTCTACCAGGTTCTTGAAGAGGAGGTCAGTGTCAGCTATAATCATGAAGGATCATGCAGATAATACCCTGGAGACACACTCAGATACACACGTGCACCCGCACGCACATGCACGCGTGCACACACTCACACACAAACCATCTTAGCTTTATAACCACCGATTTATCTTCAGCTATTGGCTGTTACAAGCACCTCACAGGTTCATGGGAATTAGAACTGGAAGGGGCTTTAAGAGGACAGCAGCTCTGTCACAGCATCAATGATGTTTCAGCCAGTCCTGGCAGACCTATTTCTCATCTGTTCCTAAAAAAATATATTTAATGATGGAGAGAACAGAACATCTCTTACCGATATATTCCACTATTGGAACAGACAACAGCTGAGAAGTTTTCCTACTGGTTATTCTAAGTCTTATTATGTGGCATTTTCAATAAATTCTTGTCCTACGTGTCAGGGAACAGGGAAAATGGGGCTGATGCCCAAGAGAAGATGATCTGGATGCCAAAGGTGACCGTAGCAGAGGCAGCGCCCTCGCCAACCAGGGCCCAGCCTCACTGCCATTAAACAAAGCACACAGAGCTGTGGGCTTGTAACAGGGTCCGTCAACAGCCCCAGACACAGTGAGAGGATGAGCTAGAGCCAGGCTCCACGTGGGGCCCCATCCAGGGGCAGCAGGAGATGAGACAGGGCCTGGGGCCGAAGACAGGACTGGAGACAAGGCTACAATGTGAACCTGACATCCACCCGGGAAGCCCCATCAGTGAGCCAGGGCAGGATGATCCTGGGTGGTAGGGGTTCCAGGTAAGGCTGGTTAGGGCAACTAAGCCATATGAGTGCCCCCAGGGTCCTGACACCATTCACAGCGGACATGATGATCAGTTATATTCCTTTCTTTTCTGTGGAAGATGTCTGCTGTTTTTATCCTTTCCTTTAAAGTAGCCTTCTTAGAAGGCTCATAGAAGGAAAACAGAGAATGGTAAAAATGTAAGATCATCTAAAATCATCTAATTCAAAAATTCAAAAATGTAAGATCATCTAATTCAGTTCTTGTATTGGTGCTGTTCTATTGCAATATCTTCAAGAGTAAGGAAAATGCTAATCTCTTTTTCTTCGTCTCATGTCAGGAACGAGAAATAAACTCTCTTTTTGTTTTAACCACTTTACTCTCGATTCAGATATATGAACATTTTCAAAATGCAGTCTGTGAGAACTGTGCACGTGCTCACAGCTTCCAGGGATATTTCTTTTATCAGAACAACTGTATAAAGATTATTTTTTTTCCCAGAAGACATTATCGAACAACTTGAGTCTACAATATGGTAAACGTGCAATATGGTAAACCTACGCTAAAATTGGCCAGTTCCAGTTAAGATAGTTGAAAGCTCAGGCCTCTGTCATCTCTTTCAGCTTATGCATTAAATGATTGTAGCAGGAGAACTGAGAACTGTCAATACTGCATCTGAACAGTATATCATCCTCCATATTTTTCATGTGTTCCAGGACAAACTGCTTTCTATTTGCTCAGCACTATTAAGCACTCGTACAGAAACAGTAGGCTGAAATCTAATAATTGCCTGCCATCATCTTCCAAGCTACAAAGTTGCTCAGCTTTTCTTCGAAACATTATCTGTGGACAATTTAACCGAGGACATTCTCTAAATGCTGAAAATGTGAGGACAGTTATGCTGAACTGAGTAGCAAAATACATTTTTTTCAAATATTTCAAGTGAAACACCTCAGAATCTGTAGTTTGCAATATGTTTCTTTGGATTTTCTATTCCTCTTTCAAAGACTACACAGAGCTATACCTAGACTCACTATGGGATATTTCACACATTGTGTGAACAATGCACACACTGAAAGTATTTAAGGAAAGGTATTTTGACAAAGAATAGCTGTGTACGGAGAAAATACATATATTTAGAGAATAGATCAATTTACTGTGCTAAAGCTCAGCTGTTTGCCACATTTTCTGCCATATGTTTTATTAAGCCAGGAACTTCTGAACTCTTGTCCCAGTAGGCAATTTAATTTAATCAAGGCTCATTCACAGGAGCGACAGACACCGTATCTTGTCTCAAAGTGCAGTCTAATTCTGCCTTGATACTGCTGCATAATGGATGCATACTTTACGCTTACTTTCCAGAGGGTGTTTTTTAGCTGATACACTTTTCAAGCACTGTAGAAAAATCATCTGAAAATTGAAATGTGTGCCAGTCAAAATGGTAGAGAGTAATGAAAAATGCTGCCTGTATAAAAAGCCTAAACTGGATTTTTAGCAAGAAGATATTTTATTAGCAGAAGTAAGTTCTTTTCTGAATTCATTCTCATATGATAAATTAACTTCTCTCTTACAGTACAGACTTTAAATCATTCTAAGTTAACTTAGCACAGTTCTCAACATCTGTGCCATTGCTGAGCTTCCTTCAGTGCCCAGCAGCAGTACTCAGCTAGCCAGCAATGAAGATGAGTCGATTTATATAAAAATACTGAGCAACCTTTGAACTGAGTAGAAGTCTCCATGTATGCTGCGTACATCATCTGGATCATTGTCTGAGATTATTTGTTTTGTGAAGCCCTCACCTCCTGAAGTTTTTGTCTCATAACCTTTAAGACCCATGATATTTTGCTGTGACGCTTTCCAAACCCAAATTCTTTACCTATGTATTTCTTCTAGTTTTTTTAAGACAAAGCATTCACATTTTGCTCAAAGCACACATACCGTCAAAGTTTTCCATGCCACTGTAACTAAATGAGACTATCCAGACAGAAAAGATGATCAATTTCATTTTGCCCACCCCAAAAGTTCCATTGATTTTCAGGCAGGGGGGAGCATTTCCTCATTTATTGCCAGGGATTGAATCTTGGGTTTGCATCATTTTTCAGCAAGTGATCTGAGGATCTTAAGACATTCTCATTCTTGTTTCTTTACAAAATAATTACGTAACCAAACTGTTGATGATGCATCTTCAGAACCCCACTTTTAATGCGAGTATTTTACTTACACATTGCAAATGGTTGAGGTACTCCATGATCTGATAATCAGTCAGATTCATTTGATGCATGAAATTTTTTCTCATTACATGCACTTTGTCTCATACGAACTGCATTATTTATTAATCATATCACTGTACTTTGTCAGAACCTTGTTGTATAATAAGACTGGAGTGCAGTTTAAACAGAAAGTCAACTGAAAAAGCAGTTCCTTCCTCAATCTCAGTATAAAAAAGTAAATTACAAGTGTTTACGGACAGTTAGACTAGCAAAAACAAAGAATGAACACAGAGCTGGTCAGCATAATTACCAGTGATCTGATGCTTCAGGCCAAGCAAGTTTGACTGTTTACTTTGCATGAAGCTCATAGTTCTTCCTCTTAAAGCTAGAGGAAAATTTCCTATAACTGTGATAGATCCTGTAGATCCCCTCAGCAGGAGCTGCAAGTTAAGAATATGACACCTGTCACAGGAGGATCTTCCATTTTTCCTTCCAGTGCAACATAAAATAGTTTGGAAGAGTGCAGCCCCACTTCAGAAACACATAAATTAGTGGAGGGGGTCTCACCAGACAGTAAGTTCTCCCAACACCAAGTACAGAGGCACACGCTCAAACCATTTAATATTTTCTGCGCTTACTCTGAGCAGCTGAACTGGAACTGCCTTATGAGGAAAGATTAAAAAGAACTAAAACGCACAAAATTGGCCAGAAGTGACTTATGTACACACATAATTATAGGCAGCAACTATCAAGGATAGGTGCTGTTTAGCATGGTCAAAGGGACAATTTCCATGAAGAGGTGATATATTTTACTTAGAAATTCTGTGTTACTAATAAGCTAACCTTTGTCACTGTATAATTTTTCCAAATGCTGCAATATAAAGCACTAAATAGTTTTAACAATTACATGTGTGAAATGTGTGAAGTTTAATGTACTTTATATTTTTTTCTGAGCTTATAGGTCCATTTGGGTAAGTAAGGTTTTATTAACTTTTGGATACTAGATCACATATTGAAAGAATCTGCAAAAGGAAAAGCAGACAGACCAGACAAAAATCATTTATGTGAAGCAGTTCTGAAGAGGTTAACCTCATGCAGATTATTTCTGTTTTAGAAATGTACTTCAGTGATATTTTAAAGATTGACTAATTACTCTGTTTCCAAAAGCTCCTCCTTCGGGTTTTCTGGTGTTTTCAGGCCTCATATAGTGAGGACCTAACATTTAGGGAATAAATTAAATTAAAATTTATGATTTTTTTTTTTTTGCAACTATAATACATTAAGTCTGTTTAATTTTGTAACTAGCGAAATCCAGTGCCCTCTCCACAGAAAAAGAGAATATCCTTCCCATCCCAGTCCTAATGACAAGATTTTTCACCAGTTAGCTGGCACTCACAATTGCACAGATGAAGGAGGCTAATGTTCTGTATTCTGCAGAGAATACCTATATAAACATACATGTACACAAGCACTCGCTGCACAAGATGGTACAATTAAGTAGGTTTAGAAATGCACTTAATAGATCAACACAGTCTTTAGTATATTGAGACCATTAGCGTCATCATGCAATTTACTGGTGTTTTGTGTAAGGGTGCTTTGGGTAAATGTAGCTTAAGCTGATTCCTTACCAGTTTAAACTAAGTCATTATGAAACCTCAAATACATCTCTGCATCAGGGTGTTGCAGTGATTTAACAAAATCAGTTTCTAAACCAATTTTCTCATGCAGCCAAAATCCAAGCTTGGAAATAGCCCAATTTTCCAACTTGACTATCAATTGACATATTAAAAATTTTTCTACATCATCATAAAGACCTTAATCTGCTATCATTTATAGTGCTGTGGGAGAAGCAAATCGACATCCACATAACAGGTAAAACTGTACTCAGCAGAAGAGCCAGGGTTCATTGCATGTGAACTGAAAGGACACTAGGCCATGACTGCAGACTCAAGGGTGTTCCAGTGATACATACCACATGGTTAATTTGTAACACGTAATGTCTCTTGAAGGCCTGATCCAAATCACTCTGAAATTTAGATTGCTTGGTCTTGAAGACAAGTATAACATGGACTGTTCTTCTTGAGTTCAGTAGTTGCTAATCCATAGACTAATGCTGGGACTTCTGAAAGAAGGTGTGTAATGGCAACATCAGCCTGTCCTGTTTCTGAGGAAAAAGTGGACTGCAATAGGAGTGGGACACAGGCGTCATCAACAAATTTCCTGAAGCTCAGTCATCAGTAGCCAGTCCTGCTTGATACTGAAAATTGATTTTCCCTTCCCGAGCCTCAGTCTAGGAGCATTTGTTGAAAAGTTGCCATTCCAGCGGATGATGGTGAGAGCAATCCAATGTGTGAAAACAGAGTGCAGGGGAATGATTTCTGAACTGGTTACCTCTGTGCTTCTAGGACATCAGCAGTCAAAGCTGGAATAATGGTTATCCTTCAGCTAGGAAAACCCTCCCTATGAAACTGGAAAAGAGACCAGAAATCAGCTTTACTGTCTCTAGATAACTCCGTCCTCTGTTTCTAATGCTGTCTGGGACAACACTGGATTCACAGCTTGGTCCTTCCTCTCCAAACCTCTGGTGCGGGTAAGCAGCAATCCCAAAGCCCCAAGTGCAGGCTACACTTTATGCTGTAATCTAATTTAGGCTCTTTTTAGTGGTCCACTCTTCAGAGAATCTGAGGTAAAAAGCTCCTGAATTCTCTTAGAAGCAGAGCACAGTTATTCTTCACTGGACTTAAAAAAATTTGTGATACATTTTCTGTATTTTATTCAATGCATTTGAAGCTTTTTTTTCCTATCTGCTCATGTAAGTTAGGTAGGTATAACTTCCATTTCTAATGAAATGTTAAGCTTGGCATAAGCTTAGTAAATTAAGCTAATTATGGGTCAATGAAGAATTGCTGTTACTTTCCAAATGGGGAAATGAGGCCCAGTAGAGTAAAGGTAGTATTTTTAGAGAAGCTTAAATGACTGAAAACCCATGAATTGAAAAGCCAGTGAGAATCTATGGGGATAGTATTGGGATTTGTTGCCAACTAAAAGTTAATCTAAGAAGGCCCTGTAATTTATGGTAGGTTTCTGTTTTCTGATTGGATGAATTTAACCCTAATGAGAATACTCGTAAGAAATGAGACTGAATGCATGTTACCTCATTACTGCCAGAGTCTGGTGTCTCTGCACAGTCATCCAGAGATACCATCTGCTAGAATATTGAGAAAAGTGAATGCAAAATATTAGGAATATAGCTGAAGTAAAATCATGTAAAGAGTATATTTTAATGGTTTTATCTTTGACAGTAGTTAATCTTGAATACAAATTTTCCAGTTTGTACTTAGTTTGACATTGCATTTTCAAGCGTTCAGATGCTTCTGCTCAGATGTACAAGTACAAAGAGTTAACCCAGAAGCAAATGGAAGGGGAAATAATGCAGGTGTAATACTAGGAGCAAACACACAGGAACACCATTAAAGATTATGCTTCCTAGTGCTTCAGCATTTGAGGAATGAAAGAGCGTGCAGTGAAAATTACATCTTCATATTCAATTTTTATTATTAAACAGTACCCTGCAAGCCATATAACTTCCTCCACACGGCAATTCAGGCTTCGTTTACTCCCAAAACATCTGAATGTAATGAATAAGGAGAGACATTTTGGTAAGCGTGATTGACGCACACAGGCAGATCTTGCTGTCTGCCAAATTCACTTTACGCTCTGTAACTGAAAAGTGGCCAGAGCTGCGTGGTAGGGAATAAATATACTCTCTGCCTCAGAAATTTTCACTGGGACAGTACTGCCAGCTCCAAACATTCAGAAATCACAGCTCAGGCCTCAAAAGGATGCAATTAGCTTTAAACGTATGAAATATATTTAAAGTAATTCATTTTGTGTCTTTGCATTTACCTTTTGGATTTGTAGTCTTCAGCTTTTGCAATCTTTCTTCTACAAGCATGGGGTCTAGGATCTTTTTTTTTCTTAAAAGAAAGCTGAGATTCTTTCTAAGTTTTATGGTCCAGCGTTTGGTCTCTGTGAATACTTCCAGCAATCACGAGGCTCGGACTAAAGTTGCATGAGTTGGCAATATGTCTGGCACAATAAAGGCTGCACACCACACAGGAAATCCCCTATCAGGTGGGAGATAGACAGAAGGCAGATAGCAATATCAGAGTGTGGAGACATATGCCAGGGAAGAAGAAGGGAGAGGATGAACTGAACTGGTTTGGCTCTTTTTATTGACATGAGCATGAGTGCTGTCTCCTGAACCCCGTAACTCCCAGAGGGCTTCCTCAAGAGGAGAGCAT